TACTATTCTTTATATGGTACTATGGGTAAACGCTCACTACATCAGTTCCATGGGGTCGACGTGGTCCACTCGGTGACCGCGCGCTATCCGCGAGTGGTTCACGCGTGAGTACGATGCGTCGGTGGCACACCGCTCCTCTTCGAACGTCTGTCGTATTGTATTCTGAGGGCTGAGTGCTAGTTTATTTCGCATGAACTCGCTCTCGACGGCTAGAGTGTTAAGCGTTGCGATTGGTGGAGATTTCAGTGCGGGCCAATAAACTCGCACTTGGCCATCTGGTTAACAACGCGGCGACCATCCGTCGACAACGTGTGGACACAGAGTCGAGGTGGTGATGGTCGGAGCTATGACCTTAAATATACTAAATTGAAATGATTTTGTGCGCCATACCTATTTGTTTTAAAAGGGTTTTTTTACCTATAAAGAATCGTCCGTGTGGTGACGGGTTAAGAATACGGAGTGCCACTACCACTGTTCATCCCGTCTATATCGTAAGAGCCGACTAACGGACAACAAAGAGAAGGAAAACTTAAAACAAACCCTATACCAACCCGTGTATAGTAGGCCTGTGTCTGGACTTTTGAAGGCTGTTGATGATGATGATACATAACTGACATTTGAGTCCCCCAAGTATCAGGGGAAAGGAGAAGGGGCTGTGAATAACAACGGAAGAACTGCTTTCCTGTGAGGTCGTGGTAAATATTTGCCATGGAATCGAACCCGTGATGAATCCTATACTGCCGAAATAAATACTTAATTATATTACTGTAATCTGACTGTAATCTTCCTCATAATTATCACTCGTAATTATTAACAGTCATATAAAACAAAATGGCGTCGCCTCTCACAAATATTTGCAGTTGCCTTCGTTTTAATTAGCATAACGTACAATAAAGCAATTACGTCTAATTATATTTATCTTTTGAATGGCGTACATATCTTATAAGCCTAATATAAACACAAGCTAACTTTTATGTATCAGAAGAAGTATAAAATATCGTTTTTTACATTAAATCTGGGTAGAAAAAAATGCCCAAAATCCTCTGCAATGACACAGATTCGGTCGGCCTTAAATCGTAATACTAAGGTCGGTTAAATAATAATAATGTCGGATTGTTATGTGTTGTTTGATTTCATCTTACAATATTATCTATTAAGGATTCGCTGTTATCAAATATTACAATGTATAATAATCTGTTATACAATATTATCATTAGCTTTAAGGAAAAACTGGTTGTAAAGATACTTAAGTTTTATGATTGGTAGAAGGTAAACTGTATAGCTAAATAGACGGCTCAAGAACAGTCCCTCAGAGTAACATTTTGATTTAAAACGGTTTTATTAGCTTGGTATGAATGTGTGTAACGACATCTACGAATGTGATTTTGACGTACTTCCAAACGTCGAATTAAATTGAAACTTTGCACGCTTATCAAGGACCGATGACAATACAATGAGGGTTTTCTGAAACGTTCCACGTGAGATGGCAGCACTGTAGCGTCAGGTCCAACCACCTGTCAAAACACATACACGATTTATTCATTCTTAAAAACGTTACAAAAGGAATACTGATTTCTAAAAATGCCACAGTGTTGTGCAGTGCCTATGTGTGCAAATAAAACTTTTGCGCCTCTCTTTTCGAGCTCAATCTTCAGTTCGGCAACCTTTCTCTGGCCGTAATCTATAATAAACTCAATAACACTTCCAAATTCATAGAATTTCACTAAATTATTATATGTTCGGTAAGAATCTGTGCTATCTGACAGCTATTTGGACCTGACGCATAAGAAGCGCCATCTGGTGGCAGAAAAAGTATCGAAGACCCTCATTGGTTAATTTGTCCGATTATCTCGATCAGGATCTTGAGGATTAACAGCTTCTTCCATACCTAAAAATACAGTAGGGTCTTTTGCTACATACTAAGGCGTGTGCTGAAGGATATATGTGACTTATTTACTTGATACTTTTAGACTTAATGAGAAAATAATCATCAAATCATCAAAAAAGCAAATATAAATTATAGTTTTAAAAAACCACGCTGTTGTTTCTGGCCGAAGTAAAAAGTAGAAAATAATAAAATAACTGTACTTTATAACCAATATCTGTCAATAAAATATTATTGAAATCTCACTAGATCTGCGTAAAGATGCGAGGGGTACTCCCACGCATTTTTACGATAAAATGATTTTTCTTTTTGAACTTATAAGATAGGTATTATTTTCCACTAGCTAGTTAGAAAAGCGTGTTTTTTTAATTTATTAACCTATAATTTATTTTCATCATCATCACATCAACAGCCTTTATTGTCCACTGCTGGGCATGGCTGGTGATGATGTGATGTGTGTGTAAAACCGTGATGTACAAATAAAGGGTTACTTCCCTTAGTTGTAGACTATGTATAATTTGACGAGCAGTTTAGGAGTTAGATAGACCAAATGGGACTATGAAGATTCTTTATCGTCTCAATTTTCCTATTAAACTCATAAACTGCTTGTCAAATTATAATCTTTGTACATAGACAGTTTAATACGCCATTATCTAGATTTGAATATAGAGATGAGTGTTTGTACTTACTTACGAGCGTAGCTAGCGTGTGCTGACGGATTAAGAATACGGAGTGTCACCACCCCTATTCATCCCGTGGGTATCGTAAGAACCGACTGAGGCAGCAAATTACGTAGGACAACAGCTGCAAAAAGATATTGAAAACTTGACTCAAACTCTATACCAACGCGTCTGGCCAGCGTGGTATAGTAGGCCATGTCCATGGCCAGGCTATGTCCAGCAGTGGACTATAAAATGTATTGATGTAACGACGATGTAGCTAATAAAAACGTTTTAAAAATATCTCTAAATATACGTTTATGTGAACTCTACTTAGTACGGTTATTATTTTCATCAGATATCGTTTCAACTTATTTGCAAGCAGGAACTGGTTCTTACGGTTTATTGAGAGCGTTGACATCCAAAAAAAAAAGTAGTACAGCCTTAACCCAAATGTAAAGTAACAACTCCATTGATAGATAAATTGTGATCAGGCATGTTGGTCTAGCGGTTAGTGACCCTGGCTGCTAAGACGGAGGTCGTGGGTTCGATTAGCCACCCAGGATAGATAATTGTGTGATGAGCATGGTGATTTATTCTGTGTCTGGGTGTAATTTATCTATAATGTATTTATTTAAAAATATATAAGTATGTTTATCAGTAGTCTGGTTTATATAGCACAGCCTCTGCCTAGTTTGGTATTATACGGGCCATGTGTGAGATATATATGACTGCACGGATGGCGTAGTGGTTTAAGCGGTCGCCACGCCGCTTCCTACTACGCCGAGTGTTGTGGGTTCAAAACCCACATAGAACGACAATTTGTGTGATCCACAAATTGTTGTTCTGAGTCTGGGTGTTATTTGTGTCCGTTTTATGTATGTTTGTAAAGTCCTCCGCAACACATGATATTTGCCTAATGCGGGAGTTGTCTCAAAAAAAAGAAAAGAAAAAGATATTTTATTCTCCACTTATTCTGAACCTCAAAGGGCGGTAACGCACTAGTGTCTGTTAATTGTGTTCCCCCCCAGTTAGGGAGGAGGAGGTATCACAGCTTATATATTGTCAAACGCTTATTATTATTTATTGATCTAACCAGACTTTATCATGTGATCGACCACATCTTGAAACACTCGACATCGCCCGATGCAGTGATTAATTGTATAATTTGATTTCGACATATGCCTTTTCTTTGTACGAGTGGGAACCCCTCGGGCCGTCACCCCACCATAGTTTACAGTGGTGTCGGAATCCAACCGACTAAAACCACACGGTGTGCCACGTTACGCCTGCGATAGGAGCTATACGGAAACAGCTGTTATTAACGCCAGAGAGTGCTGAGCAGGTCCTCACTGTAGTCGGGTGGTGTAAGACGGGACACAATTCGCTTCTGGCGACCGAGTGCGCAGGCTACGGCACAAATGGACCGTCTCCATAGGAGTGATACCTCGGGCCACAGCGTTACAGAGAACTAGTGTTAAGCAAAGTAATAGACTGCACGGATGGCGTAGTGGTTTAAGCGGTCATCTCGCCGCTTCCTACTGCGCCGAATGTTGTGGGTTCCCCCACATGGGACACCACTTTGTGTGATTCACAAATTGTTGTTCTGAGTCTGGGTGTGCTTTGTGTGCCCCGCGACTCCGGATATATTCCTAATGCGGGAGTTGTCTTTTAATATAAAAAAAAGCAATCCCAAAGCAGCCGTGCCCGGAAAGGACCTGCGCCAGTCAGAAGCAAAGGGTATCGTGCTACCGCCATCCTAGTCGACGATGACCGGTTGGAGCGCCTCCACGGCAACGGACGGTAAAGCCAGCACACTGGAGTCTGAAGCCGGGGCGACCAACGAGTCATCGTGGCTCAGCGAGTACCTCCACTCACGTACCTCTTCGGGCGGGGACTGACTGCCGCTACCCTCCCGGAACGCAGCCGTCCACCGATATGATGCGGCGAGCGGTTTCGCCTCTAATTCCAACGGGGAGGTCCGGCCCACGACATACCTACATTAACTCGAGAACTCTAATCATTTGAATGTTTTCAAATACATAATCTGATTCAATAGTTCTATTTTTATTGCAGTCAGTGATCTCTCTAGATTTTCCTTGATCGTTTAGTGGCGATTTTATGTTTTGACACGTGTCTATAAATTATTCATTCCGTTTGCCAAGATGTTGACATTGTATCTTGTGGTGATTAAATCGGGCTTTGTATCAACGCGATGCTTTGTTACGTCTATTATATTATGATCTTATCACATTGCTATAAGTTTTTTAATGGTTGAGGGGGCAAACGAGCAGCAGCAGGTCACCTGATGGTAAGTGACTATCGCCACTCATGGATCCCATCCCCTCACCACACGGACGGGATGAGAAGATGATTATACATACAATATTATGTTGGGCCAAGTAAATATGCAATATTGGAAGTTTTTATAAGTAACAAAATTCCTTTCTCCGCAGCTCTGGGCCCAATCTTACCTCAGCTCAATGTGTTCGGAAGGCAACTGGGCGTGTCACCCGGCGCCATGGGGATGGTGACGGCGGTTCTGCCCCTCCTGTGGGCAGCGGCTAAGCCCGTCTTCGGCTACGTGGTGGACTTCTGGCCGGTGAGTCAATTATGTACGTTTCGGAGGTTTTTTTCTGTGTCTTGTGCTATGAAACTAGCTATGTGAATCCTCCCACCACGCCTGGCAGATATCCTTCCAACGGTTTATGTAATCAAGTTTTTTATCCGACTGCGCTAAAAGGACGGTTATGTTTTTCGAGTGTATGTTTGTATATTTCCTTGGCACGCTCTGTAGCGTAAACGGCTTGATGGATTTTGGCGAATGATATGTCGTTAGATTCGTCTAAATTGTGAAAATTATAAAAATCGGCGTTTTGTAAATTTTAAGTATACATACATTCTCACTAGTCGGTTTTTCTTCAATAATAATTTTCAATAATACATAATCCCTACTTCCATACTTTTTATATTAGAAATGTGTACGTGAGTTTGTTTGTTACTTTTTCTTTCACAAATAGAAAGCGGCATTATGAGCGAGAAACTACTTATAAATATTTGGGACATCAGACACACAACGCCATCTAGTTTCAATCTAAGCAGAGCTTGTACTCTGAAAGTTAGATTAACATTGAAGTGACATTCCGTATTCTTAATCTGTCGCCACAGGGATAATAATAAAACTGTAAATCTTGTATTTTTATTTATATTATACTAATCGGCCATTTTTATTGCGTGATATACTTAGAAATAGTAGTTACTATCTAATTGGGTTGGCTAGATAACTGTGTAGTATGTTTTGGTGTATGTGGGTGCTGCCATGAATACCAGTCAGACGCCATATCTTATAATATAAAACCTCCTTGTTTCCCTCCTGGAACTTCTAGCTTAATGGTAATACTTAACCTATAATCTTTTTCAACGGCTGTTGAGTGCGAATTTAATAGTGGTTTCACGTTGACTCGGCGTTTGGAACTGTAAAGTGGAATCGTCGAATTTTTTTGATTGAAAGTACCTTCAACATCAACTTAAGATTACATATCGTTTAAAAACCGTTTTTAATCTTAAATTATTAATTTTAACTCAGCTTAACTTAAGTTTTTTTCCACGTAATAAAGTGTACTTACCTATTGTCCGTGTGGTGACGGATTAAGAATACAAATTGTCACCACCCCAATTCATCCCGTGGGTGTCGTAAGAGCCGACTAAGGGAGCAAACTAAGCAGGACAACAGCACTGCAAAGAGAAGGAAAACTTGAAACAAACCCTTTTTTTTTTTTTTTTTAACGTGTGGAAATCCCCTCGGACCGTCACCCCTCCGGGGTTTGCGGCGGGGTGGTGTGTCGGACTCGGACCGACTAAAACCACACGGTGTGCCACTCTGCACCTGTAACAGGAGGGATCCGGGAACAGCTGTTGTTAAGACATCCGGACCCCTCCTAGCGCCAGCCCGCTCCTGGTGCGGGCTCCGTCTCAATATTTTTTCCCTCTCTTTAGGCGACGTCCGGCACACGCGGACGCCGCCCCCTCGCGGCTGGCCAAACTAATGCGGGTGGAGGGGAAACAAACCCTATACCAACCCGTCTGGCCAGCGTGGTATAGTAGGCCAAAACCTCCTTTCTAAGGAGAGGTCTATGTCCAGCAGTGGACTTGTATAGGCTGTTGATGATGATTGATGATGATGACCTATCGTAGGTCCTCAAGACCGCATATCAGACAACTCATACCAAGCAATCATCGAAAAATTATAATTATTATATTCTTTTTCAGGCACACAGAAAGCTGGTCTTCATGTTTCTAATATTAATAATGTCTGGGTCATATTGTTGTCTATGGTTCCTACCTATGCCCGACCCGCAAGAACCCAACGACAAACTAGTCGAAACCATCCATAGACTAAACGATACAGTATATTTGAAACAATACACCAATGTCACCATGCTAGAGAAATACAAATGTCATTGGAATTGCTCTATGGTTGACAACTTTGACGTTTACCTGTCAAACGCGTCATATATTAGCACGGTGTATATTGATAATCAAGTGTCAAATACATCGTGCTCTGTATTGGCTATGGATTTCAATGATTTCGTGGCTGGAAATGTCATATGCGCTCCGAAGGATGGTTGCAATTTAATGTGCTTCGAGAATGACTATGATAATATATCAAAAAGGAGTGTGGAGGTTTCGAACGATGTGGCCAATTTGAATAAGACCAATGCTTCGAGTTTAGAAAGTACAGTCGAAACGAGAGACAGTTTTTATATGACAGCGACATTTTGGGCGTTTGTGGTGTTGATGTGTGTTGGTACAGTCGCGTTCAATGTTGCCAACTGCATCAGTGATGCTATTTGTTTTGATGTGCTCGGTGAGTTTTCTTTTTAAATTTTTAGTACTTACTAAAATGCAGTTCAGGATTATATTTCTATTGAGCTAATTACTGGTTAAAAAAAAAAAACATAACCCGTCCCTGTTTTTTTAAATTGGAAGAGAGTGCCTAAAAGCAGATGGGTAAGTTGATGTTAAGTGACTACCATCGCCCAGGTATACCTACAACTGAAAAGAGACATTCTTTAAAGGTTACAATTATCTTAATTCTTTCAGGAGCCGACCAGGGTTCGAAATATGGTGTCCAAAGAGCTTGGGGTACAGCGGGGTACGGCATCACCGCTTTACTTGGAGGGTGGCTGATCGACTTGTTGTCGCCTTCCGATGGGTACAAGGACTTCACGCCAGCATTCGTGTTGGTGATAGTAGCCACGGCGGTCGATTTGTATAGCTGTAGACAGCTTAATGTAAGTGTTTTGTATTGAAATTTGTTAGGGGATAGGACAGGTTCGCGAAGGAGACGGCGGAGTGGGACCGGGAGAGGTTTAGAACTCTCCCGGCCCGCCAGGCCCGGGAACAGGCCAGGTACCGCAGGCGACTCAGGCGCCGGAGGCCGTAGAACGACCTCCGTCCTCCATAAGCGCAGGCCTGGGGGTGACAGGTGAGGCCATCTGTCACCCTAGCAGAAGCAGGCCGGGGTGGCGGCGAGCGCGTTGCGAAGCGCGCTCGCTTCCAGGGAGCAGAAGGAACATGGGGTTCCCACACGGGGAGGGGTTCGTCTAACTGTTGCTGTAGATGGCCCGAGGTATGTCGGGGCACCAGGGACTTCCTTTCTAGGGTATACCTGGTTCCCCGGCTATTACTACCCGAGACGGCGTGCGGTTTTAGTCGGTTCGAGTCCGACATGCCACCGATAGGTGGTATCCGAGGGGATCTCCGCAAGGAAAAAAAAAGGGGATAGGACAGGTTTTGTACCAACGACACACTCCACATGCAAACGACACACACGTCACATAGACACGTTTCACCTAAACATCAAATAAAAAACACTACACGAACCGCAGAAATACGCATACATTTGACTGCACGGATGGCGTAGTGGTTTAAGCGGTCATCTGCCGCTTCCTACTGCGCTGAGTGTTGTGGGTTCGATGCATGGAATGGGACACTTTGTGTGATCCAAAAATTGTTGTTCGGAGTCTGGGTGTTCTTTGTGTCCGTTTCATGTATGTTTGTAAAGTCCCCCGCGACACAGGAATGTATTCCTAATGCGGGAGTTGTCCTTTTTAAAAGATAAAAAAACACACACGCATTACACTTGTACGTCAAGTGCAAATGTCTCACACGCTCGCCGCATACACGCGCTGCACACATTCACCACACGTATGTGCCAAGAATACTGAATTTCACCACCCCTATTCATCCCGTGGGTGTCGTAAGAGGCGACTAAGGGAGCAAACTACGCAGGACAACAGCACTGTAAAGAGAAGGAAAACTTGACACAAAACCAACCTGTCTAGCCAGCGTGGTATAGTAGGCCAAAACCTCCTTTATAAGGAGAGGCCTATGTCCAACAGTGGACTGTTGATGATGATGTGACACACACACACGCCACGTGTTACAGCTTTGTTCAGCCCACTAGAATTAAGAAGTACATCTCAATGGGAATGATCATTCATCTTCTGAAATTGTCGTTGATGTTTCATAAAGTATTTGACCAAATAACGCAATCGAATAACAAAGGATCATTGAATAATAATAAAGACACATCTCGCTCACGGCCGTCTGATCCCAAACCGGGCACAGCCTGTACTATAGTAATCAGACTGTTAATAAATATACTTACATATTTCTAAATACATATTATAGACTAGCTTTTGCCCGCGGCTCCGCTCGCGTAAATTACGGTTATCGTGGTTAGAAATAGCCTATGTCTTCCCCAAGAATCAAACTATCTCCATTCCAAATTTTATCTAAATCGGTAAAGGGGTTATTGGTTACAAATACAAACTTTCACCCTCTTTTCCCCCGCGTAAAGTGATTTCTGGGATAAAAACTATCCTATGTCCTTTCCCGGGACTCGGACTATCTCTATTACAAATTTCATCTAAATCGGTTCAGCGTTTAACCGCGAAGAGGTCACAGACAGAAAGACAGACAGACATTTATAATATTAGTATGGATAAATTGTACTTAATAATTTGTTCTCGGTGGGAATCGAAGCGACGACCTCTGATTTAACAGTCAGGGCACCACTGGACCAACAGGCCCATCAAATGTGGTTAGACTTTGTGTGAATGGTTCATAACATGCTTATTTCCTCCACAGTATGTAATAAATAAATAAATATATGTTTTAGCATTTCTTCGCGAATATCCTTATCTTGCGGTTACCCGCGTATAATGAGAAAATGGTTTATTTTTCAGCTACCCTCATTGTCGAGTCCAGATGACTCGGGGAAGGCCCTCAGAGAGGTACTCCGCATCCCAAAGGTGATGTTGTTCATCACGTTTGCCATCGTCGCTGGCACCTTCGACAGTTTTATCATTTATTATTTGTTTTGGTAGGTACGTTTTATTTTATGGTGTATGTTAACAAGTGAGCCCTTTAATCCTCTCCCGCAGAATCAGGGGTTGGGGAGGAAGTTTGTTTATATTCGTTCCAAAATTTTGATGCTAAGTACTATGGATGGAATAAAGTCACAATCACCTGTTATAAATCATTTAATCACTCCTGTGACTAATCTACAATACCACTGCGATTTTTTTGTTGCCCGACAAAACTTGACATTATCATATAAAATATTTTTTCCATAGGTTTTTAGAAGAGTTGGCTGAACAAACCGGTCATACGGCCAAGATCAAACTTATAGAGGGCGTTGTCATCGCTGCGCAGTGTTTTATCGGTGAAATATTATGTTTCTTCCTCTCAGGTGAATTTACTTTTATTAATTTTTTTATGTTGCTTCATCATAAAGGGAATATCCTCTAACCAGGCGAGGGGATCATGCCAGGCTGACCGCAGCCCAACGCATAATCTTATGTTCATCATCATTATCTTTAATAGTCTACTGCTGGACATAGGCCTCTCCTTAGACAGGAGGTTTTGCCCATATGCCAGGCCTGGCCTTCTTTGCAGATTTCTCTAATGTTATATAATGATATTCTAATCGGCGCGAGAACTATCATAGCGCGATTCAAAATTAATACTTACTCCGTAGTTCGGTGTGTCTTCGCTAGATGGCACTGAAAGATGAAGTGAAAGTCGATTGATCTGTATTATCAAAGTAAATTATGATACCAAAAAAACGCAGCAGGAGAACAACTCTCGGCTCCTTAATTATTAATTATAATACCCTCACATATCTTACATACGGCCGTTTGATCTTAAACTATAGTCCATCAACGTCATGCGCGACCGTCCTGCGGGGTGACAGACGGTGGCGGGGACGAGGTACTCAACATGTCAGCGGGTAGCGGGTAGCGGGTGGTGTAGCGGGGAAGGGAAACACTTCTCTTCGTGTGTAGCCGTGTGCTAGAATGACGCTACACCACCCGCCCCCGCCACTGTCTGTCACCCCGCGGGACGGTCGCGCACGAGATTGCCGGGTTATAGGCAAAGCCTGTACTATGGTAATCAGACCGCTAATAAACATACTTATATATTTCTAAATACATACATATTATATATAAAGTACACCCAGACACAAATGATTGTGCTTATGACAATATTTTTTTATGGGAACTCCCGTACTAGGAATATCTCCTGTGTCGCGTAGAGCACAAACATTCATGAAACTGACACAAAGAACACCCAGACTCAGAACAACAATTTGTAGATCACACAAAGTGTCGTCCCATGTGGGGATCGAATCCACAAACCGCAGCGCGGCGAGGTGACCGCTTAAATCATTACACGATCCATGCAGTAGATAACTATTTTATAATTTGGGTGTTTTCGATGTATAATATCTATGTATTTTCCAATAAAAAAAGTATATAAATATTCTATCCTTCTAGCTGTAAAGTCCGACTTGTAAAAATATCTGAAAAGATTTACTTTCAGAAATAAATATCATTTATCAGTCAATCTAGCTTTCAAAGTACAAGCTTCTTCTTAGTTTGAAACTAGATGGCGTTGTCTGTTAGATCTTCGAAATATTATTTGTATCTGGCTTAGCAGTCAGGGTCACTAACTACTGGACCAACAGGCCCGTTTCAATAATAATCAATGTAATAATTGTTTCCAGGGAAGATCCTGGACCGTTGGGGGTACGGCAACACGCTGAGCTTCTCCCTCTTGTGTTACGGCCTCAGGATGGCACTCATCTCACTCATACAGAACCCCTGGCATTTAGTTTTTATTGAGGTAAGAGTGACTTTGACATCACTGAAATATCATCCAGTGATATCTGAGGATATTAAAGTGATGCGTTCATGTAAACAGTTATATAAATGTTAATTTTATTGACTTACACTTCCACACGCGGCTGTCTGATCCCAAATTATACAAAGCCAGCAAGTAACCAGTAAGATTGGGGCCCAAACCTACCCCCTCCCCCCGATTCCGAAGAAAGGGAATAAAAGGGCGACAAAATACTTGTGACCCTTGAGTTGATTTTGTTGTCTCTGCTTACCCCGAAAAGAGAACAGCACGATTTATCTATCAAACAGAAGCAAAAATTTGTTAAATATAAAACATCTCAAACACGGCGTCTGATCCCAAACTAGTCAGAGCCCGTGCTATGGTAACCAGACTGCTGATAAACATACTTATATATTACTAAATACATACATACAACTGCCTCGGTGGTGCAATGGTAGCGTATGCGACTGCTGTTCTGAGGTCTCGGGTTCGATTCCCGGATCGGACCAAATGTTTGTATGATCTGCAAATATTTATTTCGGCGTTTGGGTGTTTTCTACAAAAAAAAGTCAGTCAATCTAGCTTTTATAGTATAAGCGCTGTTTAGTTTGAAACTAGATGGCGTTGTGTGTCAGATGTGCGAAACTATTATTATAATAATTAACCGTGTGAGCATGAAAAAAGCTATCATTTTGACATTACAAGCAGACACTTCAATTTTATTCGACGACCGAATGGCGTAGCGGTTTGTGTAACGGACTGCTATTCCAAAGGTCGCGGGTTCGATTCCCGCTCAAGTCAAACATTTGTGTGCATGAACATTTAATGTTTGATTTGGTCTGGGTGTTTCTATGTATAATATGTATGTATTTACAGAGAAAAAAGTATATATGTATTTATATCAGTTGTACCCATAGAACAAGCCCTGCTTAGTTTGGGACTAGATGGCGTTGTGGGAATGTGGTACAATATTATTATTATTATTATATTATTTATTTGTATAGATTTAAATGAGCACGTAAAGATATAGGGTTGAGTGCCGTATGTGTGAGTAGAGCTGGTCGGTGTCCGCAGGGCGTGATGCAGGGCCCGACGTACGCGCTGTGCTACTCCACCATCGTGGGCTACGCGGCGCGGGTGGCGCCCGACGGGTACTCCGCCACCGTCCAGGGCATCGTGGCCGGCATGGACGACGGCGTCGGTCTGTACACCGCTTCAGCCTTACCGCGTCATGACGTCACACCCCCCCCTCTAACTGTCTGTTGGTCTAGTAGTTACTTACCATCGTCTGTTCCTTTGCTTGTTTGACCAGAAACAAATATTAACTATATTACGCATTTTTTAATTAATATTAGTTCGTTAATATTTTCCGTGTGGTGACGGATTAAGAATACGGAGTGTCATCTCCCCTATAAATCCCGTGGGTGTCGTAAGAGCCGACTAAGGGAGCAAACTTTGCAGGAAAACAGCACTGCAAAGAGAAGGAAACTCGACACAAACTCCATACCAACCCATCTGGCCAGCGTGGTATAATAGGCCAAAACCTACTTTGTAAGGAGAGGCCTATGTCCAGCAGTGGACTATTAAAGGCTGTTGATGATGATGATGAGTTAATATACGGATATGAGGGAACGCTCCTGAAAACGAAGACAGCAAACGATAATACAAAGATATATACAGTATATCTTGTTATATGGCATTATTCACGCTCCAACATGTTTATACAACTTAATAATAAAAATAACTCCCTCGGTGGTGCAGTGGTAGCGTATGCGACTGCTGTGCTGAGGTCTCGGGTTCGATTCCCGGGTCGAACCAAATGTTTGTATGATCTGCAAATATTTGTTTCGTAATTTGGCTGTTTTCTATGTAAAATATGTATGTATTTACAATAAAAAAAGTATTTAAGTATTCTATTAGTCTATCTAGCTTTTATAATACAAGCTTTGCTCAGTTTGAAACCAGATGGCGTTGTTTTAGATGTCCGAAATATTAAAATAGAAAAACTTGATACATCTCACACAAGGCCGTCTAATCCCAAACTAGGCAGAGCCTGTACTATGGTAACCAGACCGCTGATAAACATACTTATATATTTTCATTTTCGAACGTTTTACTTAGATATAATCTGCTGTACAGGTTTTGCGGTAGGTTCATTAGTTGGCGGGCAGCTGTACGCGTGGCTGGGAGGTCGGGGTGCGTTCCAGGTGTTTGCCGTCATCGCCGTCTGCGGTTCTATAGCGCACGTATTTTTGTTCAAACTAGTCACGAAATCAGATCTAAAAGGTTAGTCTTCATATGATTTTTTTTTTATGTTAGAGGGGGCAGACGAGCAGACGGGTCACCTGATGGAAAGTGACTATCGCCGCCCATGAACGTTTGCAACTCAGGAGTCGCAAACGCATTGCCGGCCTTTTAGGAAGGAGTACGCTCTTTTCTTGAAGGTTTGAAGGTCGTATCGCTCCGGAAATACCGCAGACAATAACCCGTTCCACAGATTGGTTGTGCGGGGCAAAATGTTATTGTAATTATTGATATCTTTATTGTGTACAGTTAACACATAAATAAAGATTACTTACTAATATGTAGACTCAACGATCAGCTGTCTTATCGCTCACGGCGCGTTCTTACCGACAACCTTAATATGGGTATTAGATATTTAAAAAATTGGGTAGTTTACATATACGTAACGAATTATCGCGTGAATATTTAAAAATATCTACAAAAGCATTCTTACATATGAAACAAAACGAAAGGTTGTATAAGAGAATATATGTATTTAATATTCGATACAATAAGCACATTTATTTAATATTGTTTTACGTTCACAGCTGAACAACGTAAGAAACAGGCTACTGAAGAAGGTGAGAAAATGCTTCAGTATGAAGGTGACGCCATCTATCGAGACACGGTGGTACCTCTCACTGACGACAACGGTTTGAAAGTTGACAGATAACGACAACAGATGGCGTTGGTTGTACGATATCGTAGGGAATATTGTATTCAAGTTAGATTATTGAAACAAATTTGTTATACATTGTTGTATTATTTGCTGACAAACTGAAAATATAATATTGTTTAAAGTATACTAAACTGAGCTTGAAGAATAAATATAGGTTTTTAAGGTATTAATAAAATATTGTAATAGCCGTCGCAAATAATACAACTATATAGGTTTTTAAGTCTATCTGCTGTATATAGTGACATAAATTTTATTTTTAATATTTTTCATATCGTTAAATGTCAACAGACTGATGACTTGTTCACATAGTTTTTAACTAACTTCAAGGAAGGGATTAGAGTCTTAAATCTGTTGTATTTTTTATCATGTTTGTTAACGAAAAATTTCGTAAATTAAGAACCGAATTGGAAAAAAATCAATTGTTATTTTGATCGCTGTACACTTTCCATTCGGTCTAATTCAGATTTGATGAAATAAAATACCACAGTTAGGGGTGGAAAATTGAGGCATCAATAACTGACCTTATTTTTAATTTTGTGAGGTTACAGTAGCTTACCGAACCCCCCTCCACTTCTGGGAGGGGGGTAGGGCACTTCAAGGGTGCACTTGTACCATCAGGGGACTCGTATGCTCAATTGCCCCCTACGACGGGCCTGTTGGTCTAGTGGGTAGTGACCCTGACTGCTAAGCCGGAGGTCCTGGGTTCGATGCCCACCCAGGACAAATAATTGTGTGATGGATACGATTATTATTTTGTTATGTCTTGGTGTAATTTATCTATAATATGTCATCATCCTGTCATCAGCCTTTAATAGTCCACTGTTGGACATAGGCCTCTCCTTATAAAATATTTCAGTGTGTTTATCAGTAGTCGGGTTACCACATTCCAGGCTTTGCCTAGTTTAGGATCAGACTAGTGTGAGATTTAGGAAGTTCTAATTATAATTATTTACTGTAACTTAGTTAATAAGTTAATTAAAAATCATATTTGTAATTATTAACTTTAATTATATATGCTTTATATTTTTTAATGTTGAAAACCAATATTGGTGCCATTTATTTTTTTTACAATTTTTATTGGTTATTTGGGAGTTGTGTTTGACTACGGGGAAAGATAATATGTATGAGGTGGTTTAATGCAATAAATAGTCTATTTCTGATAAAGTATATATATATATTATATTAGACACGTATTAAAGCCACACACGAGAGTTACAAAAAGATACAAGAGTAGATTAGAAGGAGAAACGAACTGAAGAATTATAATGGCACTAGGTACAGTATTTAAGCAACGTAAACACGAGATAACACACACGATATAAGGGATGCTATCGGTAAGGGTGCGACGGACATGCAATAAGCGTCGAAGTGTTTATGCGACTGGCGCGCGGCGCGGGCGCTAGCCCTCGGCCGCTCGCCGTAACAAACCGGTTTTGCATTCCTCATATCTTACAATATTAAATACATATTCATAATAGAAATAGTTTTGTCTGTCTGTCTGTAAATATTATATCTACTAATTTAGTATATTTAGTATATTATATAACTACTTACAAATAAAAGTTTCTAATTATTTAACACTACATTAAATATAGATATATATAAATATAGCTATGCTACATGTACTAGGGGAGCAAAATATCGTACAAATCTGGTAAAAATAGTAACTTCGGCATCCATATGCCGTTTAATGAGATTCTTTTTTACTTTGTATTTTAATTTCCCTGTTTTATTTTATAAAATCACACTCATACGTTTGTGGTAACTGTTCTGCCTCTAAGACCTATAGCGTGATGTTTTAACGAAAGAATCTATGACTTCTGAATTGAGTGGACTAATTTGTGTCTTTTATAGCATTGAAGGACTTACGAAATTGTATAGCTTTTGTACTAAAAATGATTGTGTATTATTTAGATGTTTTTTAGATTTTGGTATATTAAAGAAAATGTGTTTTAGAGGCTAATTTTGTGTTCATCTAATTATTATGTCACGAGGACTGGTGATGTATCGCAGGTTATGTCAAAAGCGCCATTTTGTTTGTGTAGACATTAAATATCACTACTTATAGATAGTCACCTAAAGTATTGACATTCGATCAAATTTCAACTTTATGTAACAATAAAGAAATAGGGTTGTTTCTTCTTTATTAAGATTTTTATAAAATTGTTATATTTTTAACTCTGCTTATTATACAGATTTTTGATCCTTTTAAATAATTATTTGTACATGTTTTATCATTGTTACATATTTTTTATCCTACCTTAAAAGAAGGAGGTTATCAATTTGTATATATATATGTGTGTAATATATTAATATTACACACATATGTATGTGTGTAAATATATACTCATAAAATAAACACTACGACGGGCCTGTTGGTCTAGTGGTTAGTGACCCTGACTGCAAAGCCGGAGGTCGTGGGTTCGATCCCCATCTGAGACAAATAATTGTGTGAAGAGACCGATCATTGTGGGTGTAATTTATCTATAATATAAATTACACCCAATCACAGTATGTATTGTGTTATATTTAGAAATATAATATTTTTAGACATCTAACACACAACGCCATCTAGTTTTAAACTAAGCAGACCTTGTACTATAAAACCGAGATTGACTGATAGAATACTACTTTATTTTGAAAATATGTACATATTACATATAGAAAACACCCAAACTTTGAAACAAATATTTGACCCGGCAATCGAACCCGAAGCAGCAGTCGCATACGCTACCACTGTACCAACAAGGCAGTCGCATATATGTATAAGTATGTTTGTATGAGCAGTTTGGTTGGTTTATTCCAATATGTTCACCTGGGTGACCTTAGTACAGGCTCTGCCTAGTTTGGTATCACACGCGCCGTGTGTGAGATAAATTATTATAATTATTACCCACTTATTCTGAAACTCAAAGGGCGGGAACGCACTTGTGTCTTTAATTGTGTTTTCCTCCCTAAGTTAGGAAGGAGGAGGTATCACAGCTGATATATTGTCAAATGCTTATTATTATTTATTGATCTAACCAGACTATATCATGTGATCGACCACATCTTGAAACGCCCGATTAGGTGATTAATTGTATAATCTGAATTTTTATCTGTACCTGGATGACCGATTTTTACTCGGTATTTCTTTTTTTAGTAAATTTTCTAAACGTGAAACCTCATCAATCATCATAATCATCATCAACAGCCTTTAATAGTCTACTGCTGGACATAGGCCTCTCCTTAGAAAGGAGGTTTTGGCCTACTATACCACGCTGGCCAGACGGGTTGGTATAGGGTTTGTGTCAAGTTTTCCTTCTCTCTGCAGTGCTGTTGTCCTGCGTATTTCGCTCTTAAGACACCCACGGGATGAATAGGGGTGGTGACACTCTGTATTCTTAATCCGTCACCACACGGACACCTAGCTATATCGATTAATCGCTTCCGAAACGCCCTGCATACTAAATTTCATGAAAATCGTTGGAGCCGTTTCCGAGACTCAGATTATATATAGTTACAAGAATTGCCCGTTTAAAGGTATAAGATAGATTAAACTATGAGCTTCAAAAAAACATACATGTTTATATATGTGTATGTATGTTTGTATGTAAGATGTTTTTTGAAAAAAAGATGTTCCCAATTCAGTTGATTTTTTTTATTTTAGTAACCACAGAACTGTGTTATTTATGAACCGAATTGGGCAAAACTTTTTCTATTAGTTTAGGTATACTGCCCGCTTGTTTTGATTCAAATTTGACGCCAAAAATAACACATCTAAAGGTGAAAAATTAGGGACCAAGAATACATTACATTTTTTTTATTAGTTTGTGTTAAAGTTCTCAATACTGTTTTAAAAGCTAATTATTTTATAATAGTTTGCAATAGACATGCATTTAAGCCATGCTAATAATTAAATTACTATGTAATGTCATACGCTGTTGCCTATCTTCTTTAATGTGGTGTTGCCACTAAATAATAGGTCTTTACCTATGAAATTGCCGTTTTGTATGCAAAAGTTATTACTTTTGCACCTACCGACTATTACTTTTTTCAAAATTTAGACAACTTTTTAGTGGATATACTAAAAACAAAAAAGGGCCGAGAATAGAACCCTGTGGAACGCCCATTTCTACCACAGAGCCTGGAGACCGCTCACCATTAATATCAACTTTTTGAATCCTATTACATAGATATGAGGCAAGTAGTTCCAGGGCTTTATTTTTGATACCATAGTGCTGTAATTTCCTGATCAGCGTTTCATGAACAACACAATCAAAAGCCTTAGATAAATCGCAAAAGATACCTAGAGAATCGTGGGCATCCTCCCAGGCATCAAATATATGTTTTACTAGCTCAACACTAGCATCAGTTGTGGAGCGACCTCTTGTAAAACCAAATTGTCTATTGTGCAATAAATTATTATTATTAAAAAAACTGTGCAATTGATCATACATAATTTTTTCAAAAATTTTACTAAATACTGGTAGTACTAAGATAGGTCTAAAGTTAGTTGGGTCAGATGTACTACCAGATTTGAATAAGGGAATAATTTTACTAGACTTCATAAGATCAGGAAATACACCACTATCAACACATTGATTAAATGTAAATGACAATTGATTAGCCACAAGAGATATAATTGTCTTAGTAATTAAAACAGAATTTCCCCATAGGTCGGTTGTTTTTTTAACATTAATAGTGTTAAAGGCTTTAATAATTTCAAAGGGGGACACATATTGGAACTTAAATTCACTATCAATTCTTCTAACATTCTCTTTTAAAATTGATTCTGCAAGGTATGGTAAGGAGTTCAAAGATTTAGTAGTTAATACAGGAATGTTAGTAAAAAAATTCTCAAATGCAGCAGCAACCTCAGCATTTGATGTGATAAATTTATTGTTTATGTTTAAATTAAATTCATTATCACGGTTTGGATCTTTGCCAGTTTCACTATTAATAATTTTCTAAGTGGTTTTAATCTTATCATTACTACTTTTAATCTTTGAACT